AAGAAGATTTTGCTATCCATATGGTGGGATCATCGTGGTGTGCTGTTTTACGAGCTGCTTCCTCAGGGAAAAACGATCGATTCGAAGGTCTACTGCACGCAGCTAACGAAATTGAATCAAGCATTGCGACAGAAACGTCCAGAACTGGTCAATCGCAAAGGTGTCATATTCCACCATGACAATGCCAGACCCCACACTGCAATAATCACTCAGCAAAAATTAGTGCAACTTGGCTGGGATGTTTTGCCTCATCCACCGTATTCACCAGACCTTGCGCCATCCAACTACCACTTGTTCCGGTCCCTGCAAAACTCCCTCAACGGGAAATCGTTTGCTGATCAAACAGCTGTGAAAACGTACCTCGACTGGTTTTTCGCCTCTAAGCCCCAGACCTTCTATGAGAGCGGAATAATGAAATTGTTGGAAAGATGGCAAGAGATCATCAACAAAAACGGAGAATATATCATTGATTAAAATTCATCCTTTGTATAAAAAAAACTTGTTTCATTTTAGCCTTCAAAAACCGAACGAATATATGGATCCACCCAATATATAGTTTTTAATCATTGAAATCAGGTATTTACTAGATTCAGAATCGAGGAAATTTCTTCCCAAGAGGTTTCTTTTTTTGCTGTATCTTTAAAATCTTTTTTTTGTTTATCCCACAAATGTGGGATACCCTTACTATCCCACAAATGTGGTATAACCTTACTAAATCAATTAATAATTGGTCACCATCTTTGCTTTCAGTTAAATCACATATTTCACTGTCATTCTGGTCGTTCTGGTCTGTCGAGTCGTTGAAATATATGTTGTCACTATCATATGTATGATCACACATTGGCTGCGTTCAGCAGACTCAACAGTTTTGCAACCGTTTTATGATTATCTGCTAAGATAGGACCATTCTTCTAGATCTAAAAGTATGATCCAATTAGCGCGAAGGAAACTTTCAACAGTTGCAAAACAAACGTTCTGCTGAACGCAGCCATTCTTTACTATTTTTAATCGTGTATGTATATCCAATAGTG